TGCTGGAAAAAAAAAATAGTTGGGCTGATAAGGTGACTAAAGCACCTGTGTGACCTTTTGATGCGATTCTTTAGATGTTATTGCTCAGGTAGGACATGTACAATCAAATTAAGCATTGAGTTTAAATCTATACTACATTTTGATCATTTGTTAAATGAATGTTTTAAAATTATTATATAGCAACATTTGTTTTGTTTTGCTTTGTTGAGACAGAATCTCACTATGTATTTCTGGCTGGCATTGAGCTCACTGTGTTGCCCAGACTGGCCTTGAACCTATAGTGATCCTGGTTAGGTCACTGTTTATCAAAAGGAACCCTGTTAACTACTAATGATCTGCTGATGTATTCTTGGGTAGAGAATCATTTCTTTAGAAATAATCCATAGATTATGCGTGTTTGCAAAACCTACTAGACAACACAGATCTTTTTTTTTTTACTATGTGTGAACAGTAAAATAAAGAACACATGAGCTTTTATATGGATGACCTTTGAGAAAATGATTATATTTTCTAGAATTTGTTTCTTCATCATTAAAATGGGAGATCTGGGACTATTGTGAATCTTTAAAAAAAGTATGTATAAATGTTTATAAATTATGAAGTGCTATCCTCTACTAGTGATAGTGTCTGCTCTAGGATAATGATTGTATAGAAGACCGAGTATCTCAAAAAGTGTACTGCATAGTATTTATGATCTGTAAGCTCCGATTTTCTCATCTGTAAAATCATATCTGCTTTATAAGTTTGTTGTGGGGTAAAAAGTGAGCTAATGCATATAAAGGAATAATCATAGTACCTAGCATGTATGAATCATAGATTTTAATATTCTATTCTTAGTATTATGGTTCTTGTGTACAATATATTATTATACTTACATCATCTGCAATTAAATATGAGTCATCATTCTGGGTAACACTTTAAATTCTTGCATGAAAATTTTAAAGATGGGGTACTGTCTATAATGATCATTATTCCAGTAAAATATAATTTCAAATAGTGTTCTATATGTGACTCTTAAGTGGCCTGAATGTTACCTTCCTCAAGGGAGCTTTTATGTAATTAATTCAGGCTGCCAGGAACAGTTATCACGATTCTAAATTAACTACTGGCTTAACAAATTAAATAAGTGGTATGAGTTTTCAGAGTATCTAAAGTAATCTGACACAAATAGATACGAGCACTGGGCTGAAACTCCTGTGAAGTAACCATGAGCCCTCTGGTACTTTATGTTAGAGAAACAGATAGGACTTACCATCTTTTCCTTGGACAGCTACATTGCGGTCACACTGGGTAGCAATGAGAGAGACATAGGCCAACCCTCCTTCTGGTATTTGGTTTAGAGAGGTGGCAGGTTGTGGTATGCAACTATAGGGATTATCAAACCTAGTGTCTCTCCAGCACTCTTCCTGTATTTGTATCCCCTCATAAGGAAAGTATGTACCTGCCTCTACTCTTCACTGTCTGTGTCTACTCTGAGTTAAATTCATCTTTCTTTTGTTATTCTGCCTTGCACATATATATCATTTATGCTAATTTCCATTGTCTGTCTTCATCTGTTTACTCATTAATACTGAGAAATAGCGCGC